CAAACAAACAAACAAACAAAAATCTAATGGATAGCAAGTGTGACGTCAGCAGCCCATGCGCGTGGACTGTCCTTTCAGCAGAAGTTTTAAAGTATAACAACATAAACACTTTTACGGTATAAATGACGAAAGCTGACAAAGCCTTAGAAACCGATAGGCCTATATTCAAAGTATTAACCTGTATATATTGTTACGTCTCTGTTCGTTTGATAATTTCCCTTAAAAATTCTTTCCGAGAACAAGTCCTTTCCTAGATAAAACTAGTTTATTCTTTTTCAATATAACTTTGCAATACACTTAATTTCCACAGTCAGTTTAACTTAAACACACGCTATAATTCACAACGATTCACGCACTTTACTTACGGTCACTACCGCTCACTTGACTCGATTATCTGGCTCCATATCTTTAATCCAATTAAATTATCTCGCTTTATTTGCCGCGCTTATATACAAGAATAGAGGGCGTCTATAATGCACTCGCCTCTTCATGAACCTTCTAGACACTCATCACGTGTTACCAGCGTCACATGACCTCCGCTGTCGTAGCAATATAAATAGCATTTCAGAGGAATTTTCATCTCTCATCGTCCAGCCCAACTGACGTGTTCTATTGGATAAAGGTCTCTTCGACAGTGACTTGTGGGAGATGAAAAGATAGATCTGAAATACTGTTTTCACGCACTTCTGATTTTGAATCCGAAATGAACAAATTAATGAAACGTGGAAAAAAAATATGCAGTTTACATTGTTTTCATCATAAAATACAAATCTTGTTTATCTGCACAACTCTTGAGATTGTTAAAACTTACAGAATTTATGATGAAATTCGATAACATACTAAGATTCAATAACACCGTGTACTTTTATTCGAATATACAAAGAAACTAAAACAAAGCATTCCATGTTGAGGTGGTTTGGCGGTAAGTCTGAAAACTTATAACACTAAAAACTAGGTTTCGATACTCGTGGTGGGCACAACATAGATAGCCCATTATGTAGCTTTGTGCTTATTAGAAAACAAACAAACCATGTTGAGGTAAAAAAATAATATATTAATTTTCTCTTCTCTTTAGAAACCAGCACGCTTTTAATTTGTATTTGGGCAATTTTTTGTTTCACGTGTCTTTGTTTTTTTTTTGTCCTTAATAGTTGAACACAAGCCTGGAAACGTAAATCTTTTCTTCTTTTTTGCGTTTTACAAAAGGTCCATACGTGGCCTAGTAATACGTGTGCCCGAACTGTGAATCACACATACACGCAAAATTGTACGTTTTAAAGAATAAAACTAAATAATCGTTTATTTTATATGGAATGGTCTAATAAATACAAAACTGTTACGTAAACCATTTTTCGACTGAAACATTATAAAGTAATCACTAGATGGCGTTTCAATCTTTGTCTACAATTCACGGTCCTGACATGGGCGGCCGGTTCTTCCTGTAGGTTCTGAAGCTAGAACGTTAGTTCGATCCGTTTACGAGACTACCTATATTCTAGTGGAAGACTGTCTGTGGCAGGGGCAGGTTTCTTGTATTTGACTGTGATGTGGAGAAAACACAAGCGACTATTCAGATCATACCCATAATCCTCTAATTTCGTGATCTTTGAAGGGTAACTGATGGTTTCTTCCGTTCGATAACAGTCATCTTAGCGTAGTTTATATCAGATAGAAAAGGTGGAGACAACAGTACGTTAGGCATGGATGTTTTTCCGCACGTACGAAAATAATCTCGCATTTTGGAATGAGGTTCGATATTTAAAGTACTAGAATAATCGTGGCAATGTTTGGAGTTTCATCAATGTTATGTTATTTATATAAGGTGAGTTGAATAATTTCCTCCTTCCAGTTCGTGTTCTTGAAGTTTTTAATGGTTAAGAATCGTAATTCTTTTGTGATTTTGATATTTTTTTAGGTTAGCTTTTTATATCACGATGATTACTAGGCTAGCTGCCCTATTTTCCAGTGTAACACTCCTGCGCATCTAAGTAAGCACTGCAAAACAGTAGTTTGACGGGGTTCTTGACCGTCTTACGAGTGTATCTGTAGCAATATGTAGCACGGTTTGAAAACTTTACTCCGCCATGAGCTAAATCAGACATAAATTGGATAATCTTTAACTGATTTTTAAAATTATATATTCCATTTACCATTATTGCTAAACTACCCTACGAAAAACGACAAAATAATGATATTCAATCCTCGACCTGATCTCACCCTACAGCCAAGTACCAGGAGTCTGTAGCGCGTAGAGAATAGCCTCAAACGGATGGGGTTCGGTACATCATCAGCAACATATGTTTGTAAAAAATAAGAGAGATACTGAAATTGCATTAACTTTTTTTTTCTGAAATAAAACTAGTTAGCTAGTTTAAACATAAGTTTTGTTTGTCGTTAGTCGTCGTTGACGGCTAGCTTGTAAATCAAGCAACGATTTGTGACAAAAAAAAGCAACTTTATACCATATTTCAGTAGTTCTCAATCTGTGGTCTGGAAACCTCTGGTGGTTCGTGGTTGCATAATTATAGAAAGGA